AAAAATTGGAAAGAAGTATTTAAAAGGCATTTTTATATTTCTGTATTTTAATATTCTGTAAAATTTTCACTTAACTAGACATTGCGGTCGGTTATGTGCTAACCACTTCAGATTTTTTTTTATAAAACGACAATATTTATTTTTTTAAATTATTTAATATTTATTATTGTCATAAGGCAAGTGAGAGTAATAAATATTAAATAATTAAATAGAGGACTTTGTCGCAAATGTACGGCCTAGTCTTTTATTTGTAATAATAATTTTTAATAAATTTCAAATTTTTTTTTCTAAGCATTAAAATAAAAGTTTGAAATAACAAACTAATTTACCATTTAAAAATTACATAATTGTCATTTTTAATGGTCAAAAAACAATATTACCAAAAACTTTCAAAAATTTTTTAAAATCATATAGGAATTATGAAAAATATATATGTATGTAATTTAAAAATGATTCTCTGCAATAAATATTCATAAAATTTTAATTACCAGCTCAAAACAAGTTAGAGGAAAAAAAAATTTGCAGTAAATTCTGCAGCAAACCTTCTGACAAATTACTTGAAATTTTAACTTATTAAAATTAACGTACTTTTTTAAATTATTAACTTTCAAACTGTTATGTTTTCAAATTAAATTGAAATTGGATTTGTTTTCATTTTAAATGATACAATAAAGATAATAATTTTAAGGTTTAAATAAAAAAGAAAAACAAGAAAAAGCAAATTTCTTTAATTCTGAAAATAAATTTTTGATTAGATATTTTTTTTAAAAATGCATTGGGAAAAATAATAAGAAAATGTTAAAAGGAGCAACTAGCTAGGTTATGGAAGCAGATTATTAATAAAACAACTAAAAAGACAAACAAATAAAGTTGGGTCAAACCAATAGTTTGTATTGTAGCACTTTTCCCTTCAACAAGTGAAAATACTGCTTTTAAAAACAATCTATGTATATCCACCACACTATTAAAATTATTTTCATTCATAAACGAAACTATTTCTAGGATTGCATATATTTAGGATGAAAGATTTATGCAGTCTTTGAATTAGATAAAAATTAATATAAAGGGGGGTTAACATAATGCTCGATTTTAAGGGTTAGTTGTGTGAGTTAAAAAAAATAATTATATTTTTTAATGTCATGGAATTTACCGTTAGCTTTTTGCGTTTATAGAAATTTGAAAAAGCTTGCGGTTTCGGAAATATAAGGTGTCAAAAATTCAAATTTTACGAATTTCAAGAGGCGATAACTTGAGAGGGGGTGGAGATGGAAAAAAATTTTCTTCTAACGAAATGAACTATTTGTTAATGTCTAAAAGTTCCTAAAATTTCAAGCTTCTGCAGGCTAGGGTATAGGAGAAAAACGACATAAAAAATTTGGAAAAAAATGACTTTAGATAACGGTAAATTTGAACGGCCATTTTGTTTTTCTAAAGTTTAACTATAGTATACCGCGCTAGGGGAAGCAAGCCGCTGCCTTTCTGCGTTTGCAAAATTTCAAAAATGCTTATGGTTTCATTGTAACAAATAGTTAAAATGGGCCATTTTTGTGGCTTTGGGGGGTTATAACTTCTAGAGGGGGAAGATAGGTAAAAATTTTGTTCTACGAAAATGAGTTTCTAGTAAAGATCTATGCACGTATAAAATTTCAGCTTTCTATCTTTAAGAATGTAGAAGTTTTGTAAACAGACACACGGACAGACGGACGGACGGACGGACGGACAGAGTGAAACTAATAAACACTTTTTTTCAAAAAATTTTTGGAAAAGTGCTAAAAACAAAAGAAAGACAAGCAAAGATTTTAATTAGCAAATATTTCAAATAAATTAAACTTTTTTAGTAATTTTTATTAGATTTTGTATTTTTATTATCGCTAAAGCACTCTTAATTTTAATACTTTTTTATACTTTTATGTTGCTCGAATAATAATTAAATGAAATTTTATTATTCATGTGGATTAGTTTTTGTAATTATTAGGTAACAAGAAATCTATAGAAAAAGCTTTAATTTTTTTTAAATTGTAATCGTTTTCGCCATTTTTATAAATAATTGTGGTTTTATTTTTAAATTGAAGTTTGTTAAACCGTAAAAAATGTTTTCGAGTTTATAAATAGAACAAAAGAATTTGGAGAGTATAAAAAGATTTGTATCCATTCTGCAGGGTTTTCAAAATTACCTACTTGGTAAATTTTAGTCTTATAAAAATATTCTCTTATTGTTTTAAAAGTTTTTGCAAAAGTTGTGTGTGATATATTTGCTTTTTACCGACCGCATTGTGTATACTGGATGCCGAGTTTTCGATGGGAACGCACTTCTCTATAGTAGGAAAGCACAAAATAAACTATTTATAGCAACCTGTCGGCCTGTCGATCTATGTGTGCACTTAAAATGGGGAATTATTGCATGCACATAATAATACGCTACCAATTAGAATCCATATACATACATATTTATTTAGATTCTATAATGAACACGAATAAAATGAGTAAATGTATAATTAGGTAATACTAATAATATTTAGGGTATTGCGTGTAGCATACGATTTCTATGCAAAAGATCTCAAGTTCGAACCCTGAAAAGTGCAAATTGTCCGATGAACTTTTTTTTATTGATCATTTTATTTTTTTTTGTTCTTATTTAATATGAAAATAAAAATACCTAATCCTTAAAAATCAATATCGGCGAACTTCCGCCCCTAAATGTTTTTTTTAAAAATTTTTAATGTAATAGAATAGCATTTTGTTATTAAATTATGTCTTAACAAGACAAAATAGAATTGACTGTGTCAACTCTATGATACTCCTACGAATTTCTTATCGTTTGTTCGAGTTATGAATATCCCTTAGCTGACTCTGGGACAGACTATGACTTTAGGTTTCCATATTTCCATATTAATTTAAGCAAAATTTTAGTAATGTGTACTTTTTTAAAATATGGCCAAACTACTATTGAAGTTTCATGGCAGCTACTTCAAGGAGTCAAGAAATTTCAACGATTTTTATCACACATAACAGCCCTAATAAAACACTTGCTTTCACGAGAGTTTTTTATTATAATTCCAATAATTTCTTTCAATTTTCTAACGCATTGGCCCTGCTAATATATTCGTTTGTGTAAAATTTCGATACCACAGATTTTATTGTTTCTGAGATATAGCCAAATAAATTTAGAAGTTGTATGTTAGGTACCCGAACCAGTGCCACTATCATAACCAATTTAAATAGGTTATAACATTCACTATAACACATCATATGTGAAAATTTAGTGAACTTAGTTCAATTAGTTTTCGAGTTATCGTTAGGACGGACGAGCAGACAAAGCTATGACTCAACTCAAATCATCGTACGGGTATAAAAATTAGTATATTTTACAAATATTTTACGGGTATGTTGTCAAGAAATTTAATGTACACTTATGTTTTGCCTACTAATACATTTTGCAGCAAATCGCGAGAAGAATACACAAGTAAATGCGTACATACATACTTATTATATAAAAATGCAGATTTTATTAACTTTGGCAATTTTCTTAAGGAACTGTTCAATTTTTGTTATAACTCCATCAAAAATTAATTTATGTACAATACTTAAATACTACCAAAAGTAAATAAAAACTACCCCCATAAGATATTGTACCATTTTCTAAAAAGTTGTCACAAAGCATCTTGGAAGGGCGTGAATGGGGGAGAGGGTCCGATGGTATTTTTGTTTTATCTTGGACCCTAATTGCTAAACTCAATCTAATGCCTTTTGTTCCAAGTCTCTAGTCCTTCTAGAAGCACCCGCACTTTTCACATCTCAGAAGTAACTATAGAAATATATATAAATAATTATTTCAAATGATTGCATACATTCGGGATGAGACAAAAGAAAAACCAGTTGAAGAGGCGTTAACAAAATAATGAATTAAAAGGTTCCCAGTAGGAAATTTTATCATTAAATAGGTAGATAGTACCTATTTAGTTCTTGGTAAGTAGTCACTGATTAACTTTCTGGTTACCCACAATGTAATTCCAGGATTACATTTCGCCGGTGTTGTCCTACTTTGCTTTGGAAAGTAAAACGTGATCAATTGGTATAAATAATTAAAGTTTAAGTACTAAGGTAATATCTTAGGGGGTGCAACACATTACTCATCTGATTGCAATGAAGTAGGGAAGTAAACAACCACTGTGGAGTAGGAAAGTAACCAGTGCAGGTAATCTCTTACCCTTTTAGTTACACAGAAGTAAAAAAGTAATTAATTTTTGTGAAGTAAGGAAGTATCAAAACGGAACATAATTTTTTTTGATAAAATTTAAAGCAAATTTCCTGCTTCTTCAAATCACTTGATAGAGAGGGGTAATTAATTGTATTGGCATCACCTAAAATTATTTATAACCAAAGTGAAATTAAGCTAATGAATATGAATCAATTATTCGAACCTGTTAAAACACTCTGTAGAAACTGCACGGATATGTTTGACCTATAATTGGACACACAACTGCCAATTTCATGAATCTAATTTTATTATTTTTTTGAATAATTTAAATTAGCTTTTGGAGTTCCTTGGAAGCTATCCAAACTTGTCAAGCCATTCCATCAAAACTTCAGGGATATATGTGACCTGGAATTGGACACACGACCGCCAAGTTTCATGAATCCAACTTTATAATTATCCTAAATAATTAAAGTTTCCTTTTAGAATTGTATGGTAGCTACCCGAATCTGTCAAGTCATTCTAATAAAACTTCAGTAATATACGTGATCTACAGTTGGACACATGACTGCCAAGTTTCATGAATATGATTTTATTATTTTTCCAAATATTTAAAATTGCCTTTGGAGTATGGCATAACGTCCATACCATTGCAACCATTCCATTGAATTTTCAGTATCTTTTACAACACTTTCTGGAAACTATATAATTTTGTGGATTATTTTGATATATTTTGTGGATTATAGTTTAATTATATGTAGTTAATTTTTTATTTTTTTTGATAGTCTTAGTTTATTCACGTTAACAATTTAGTTTTCTTATTTTCATATTTTCAGGTTATTAAAATGAAATTCTCATTTCCAACGCCTGGCGGTGGTACTGGAGTAGCACTATTTTCGAAATTAATTAGAACGAAAGATTTAAGAACATTACAAGGTGAAAATCCAAGGAGTAAAAAGCCAAAATTAACCGTAAGTAGTCTTTTTAACTGAAAATAATAGGGCTAATTATGATTAACTTCTTTTGAGTTCTTCTATAGCAGAAAAAAATCTATTGGTTTGCATTATAAAAGCCTGCATTTAGACTTTAATATAAATTAAAAATCTATTCAAAATAAACTAAAAAGCGATTATTAAGTTTAGCAAGTTTCCCCGTAAGAACAGATGGATGGCGAGTTATGTTTTTATTATTAGTGTGACAGGCACACTCTGCTCAGCTCAGCTCAGAGAAATTTTTAAATTTTTTTGCCTTTAACTCGTTCCTTGGATAACGTCATCCATCTGTTTTGCAGTTGTATCAAGAAATTTTCATTAAGTTAATATTATTAGAGTAATAGGCACTTTACTTATTAATTAAACAACTACACTTGTGCTAGTAATTCAGTTTCCCTGTAAGTTTTAACAGAAAATTACTTAATTTTCAATTTGTATAGTGTACATGCCAATGACTTTTTATGTTGGAGTTTGGAATAAGTGCAAATCAGTGATTATTTAAATTTTTTTTAGTAGATAATAAATAACATTTATATTTATAGGCAAGTGGTAATTTCATTTATAATATATTTGTCATTTATAATAAAATAAATATGAAAATATCATAAAATTATTTGCTACCACCACACACAGTTTGAAATACAGATTACGGAATATTTTCAAATAAAAAAATTTTTCCATTTTATAATACGAGTATTTTATTAAATTTTTTCCAATTTAAATTTCTCTTTTACATATTATAACTTTATTTTATATGCATTTTTTTTATCTTATACTTCTTTTGTTATTCTAGAAATGTCTTACCACATTAGATTTAACATCATTGGGTATTGGTTCATGTTGTGGTACTGGAATGTATTTAGTAGCTGGTATGGTCGCAAGAAATATTGCTGGACCAGGTGTAGTTCTTAGTTTTTTTATTGCTGCAATAGCGAGTATATTTTCAGGTAAAAAATTTCTATTATATTCAAATTGTATCTCTTTCTTTGTAACAATATATACTTATATTTTTTACAGATATATACATATATATCTGTAGAAAAAATAAGGATAAGAGATTTTGTAAAATTCCATTTTGCATACGGTTTTATATTAAATTTAGTTTTATTTACTTTTTTTTGTGATTTTATTGAGATGAAAACTTTTTTTCTTAACTATAATAAAATAAATACCTAATCTTTTTTTTGTGTTTATATAGGCGCGTGTTATGCTGAATTTGGTGTTCGAGTACCCCATACATCAGGATCAGCTTATATGTATTCGTATGTAACAGTCGGTGAATTTGTTGCTTTTGTTATAGGATGGAACATGATATTAGAATATTTAATAGGTAAATAATATTTAACAAGCAATGTTCTTTGTTTTTATTTGATATACGCACGTACAGATATATACAAAACAGTTACATTTTCTGGATTTTAAATACAAATAAAAACAAAGTATTGTTTATGCTTATTACGCTTGTGAGTAACATATACTACACAGCTTTAACATTTTTAAAAATACGTACGTATATGCGCTGCAAATACACAATGTACACGTTATTTAATTAATACTTTTGATGTTGTAATTCCTATAAACAAACCTGTTGAGGAACTAAGTATCGTATATTTTTAAGATTTTTGTAATTAAAATATTGAATAGAATTAAGAGCTCCTAAAAAGTCAACAATATGAAGGTAGTATTTATGTATGTATGTATGTATATTGATTTTTTAACATAAATTTACTTTGCCCCAAATTCAAATGATAAGAGTTACCGTAGTTTGCTAAATCTTAGATTATGAAGACGTTACAAGATTTTTAAAAAAATTCAATGAACTTTATTTAAAATTAACAACTTTAAAATAAAAAATTATAACATTTTGTCTACTATTCATACTTTATTGCACTTTATTTATACTTTATTTGCCCTACTGACAAAGTTAAACGAGAATTCGTTATGTGAATGTGTCAACTATTTTAACTATTTTAGTAATACTTTAATGTGTTTAATATTTTTTTTATAATAAAATACATAATTGGCCGTTATTAAAACTTTTTTTTCTGTAGCTTAATGCTCTAAACAATTTTTAACGTTAACAAAATATTTTCAAGAAGAGCCTTTAATCATTGTGCTAAATTATCGTCAAAAAATAATATCAGTGTTAAGGAAAAGTTAGATTTATAAAACCGAAAATGCACTAAAGGTAGGCTATAATTTTCCATATTCGCAAATTAATGCAAAAATATATTGAAAACCATTGGCATGAAAATAAGTAAAGTCATGTGAAACTCAATACGATCACAATTCTCCTGTTATTGTACTATGCAAACTGCTTGGCAAATATTTATATAGCTAACGATAATGTAATAACGAAAACTATACATAAATAATGTAGTTTTGTGTTTGGAATTCAAAATTTTTGGATATTGTGTATGTGATCTAAATTTAAATTTATATTATTTTTTTTACAATTTATAAATATTATACTTATTCTTATATTATACAAACGTTCAAACATATTTGCGCATTATTATTGCAACAAAAAAAACAATAGTGTACAATTAAGGTAAATATTTATAAAATATATAATGAATTTGGAGAATTTTGAATAAAGGATAACATCAGATTATAAATGGAACTACTATAATCAAGGGATTTTTATTGATTTTGTAATATTCTATAAGCGTAATTATTAATGTTATATTGATTTTAACAATACAACTATCAAAATAAATTTTTGAACATATTTAAAATTATATTATTATTCTGACCCTACAATCATAATGATATCGTATGCTCCTTAGAATAGTTATTAATTCACTAGTTAAGAAAGTTCCTAACAAAAATTTAGGAAAACTTAGATGACATAAGCCTTAAGGTATTTAATGCTAAGTGATCTAAGAATGGAGCATGTAACAAGACCTAATCAAACACATTTAAATTTAAAGATATAACTAATTTCAGACTCATCTTTTATAAACCATATAATATTAAGATGACAATCATATGTCCGAATCATATATCTGAATCTTCTTAACCATACAAAACTCACATTATTTTATCATGCACTTATATCGTGTAACTGTATCACAATTTACTAATTTTCATGTTGCACACTCACGTCCACACGAAAGTGCTCAATCATGCTATTTTCAAACTTTCAATTTGTACACTTCGATAATGCAGTTGTTCAGTACGCATACAAAATGTAGTACTTTCTTACTATACATTAATTTACTTATGCAAGAATTCCGTATATTATACTTTTTCACAAATATGTGTGGATGTAATACCAAAAAGTGAAATCATCATAAATCATTTGCAGTTTGAATAACAATGAACATTTTGTAAACAAATGTAATTTTATATGTACATAAATATATAAAATTTCAAAATATGAGAAGTAACCCGTACATTTGTTTACATGGTTTATTTTAAGGATATCTGAAGAGAATTTTTATTGAACTATACTTTTATTATTTTCTCTTTATTGTAAAATCTATGGATCTTGGTATATACATGCATATAAACAAGACACTATATTTCTTATATGTGACTCAAAAAAAATATTCTTTTTATTGATATTTTTTATGGAATTATTCAAAATAGTCATAATATAAAAATTTATTTCTTATATATAGGTACATATACAAGATACTAGTACCAGTGCAATTTATTGTGATATTTTCAACTTATTACAAAATTTAATTTCAATATCACAGCTTTTACAGTTTCTGAAATATAGCCAAATAACTTTTGAAGTTGTATGGCATTTTCGTCGTTTATTGTAATATTATACGTTAATGTGTAAAAAGTAAAAAAAGGATTCTTCAACGAATTTCTTTCGATCTCTCATATCATAAGACCTTAAAAACTTGTTAAGAGATTTACTGAAGTTCAGAAGATTTCTCAATTTGATTTGCAAACAACTAATTAATTTTGATCAATCTACTGATGAAGAAGAATTCTATATTGTGTACATACATATCCATTTATTCTAATTGTAATTATATAATATGAAAATGATATAATATATAATTTAATCTCCTTAGATTAAAAATTTCTGTAAGAAATTGAAAATTGTGTATAATATAATTTTTGTAGTAAAATATAACCAATATATAATTAAATAATATAATTTAATGTTTCTGTAAACCTATAAATAAAGCAAATTATTTAAATAGTGAATTTATAACATCTTGACCAAGACTAAAGACCAATATAAATCTAAAATTACTTATGATGATTTTATACAAGAGTAAAAGTTTACAATAGTACTATAATAAATTTCAAAAATTTAATTATTTAATTAGTGGAAAAAAATAATAAAATTTTTATATTTTTCTATTTTTCCAATTAATACAAAGAGTAAAGGTCCTTTTTAATTTTCTGTTTTCCTAATAATTAATTTTCTTATACACACACAACAAAATAACATACATACAAAACTTTATCTAAAATTTATTATTGAATTATTTTTCCACAAAAAAAATATTATTGCTATTCTTTTATTATCTCTCATTTTTAAGGAACAAGTGCCTGTGCTTGTGCACTTAGTGCGAGCTTTGATTCATTATCGGGCGGTATTATTGGTAGAAGTATAAAAGACTCTGTTGGAACAATATTTGGTAAGATTTACATTTTCTACTAAAATTATTTACATATAATACATATGTATATTTGTACAAAGAATTTAATTAATCCCAAACAAAATAAAAAATCAATAAAATAACATAGAATCAATATAGAAATTACAATATAAAAAGGAAAAGAAAAGTCTCAAAATGAAAAAAAAACAAAAAGGAGGCAGGCAACAACTAAATTAATTTCCTGTATTAGTTGCTACCCTCAATTTAATAATGACAATAATGGCGACGAGGATAATGATAACATAATTAAATAATTAATTATTGAATTTTGGTTATTTTTTTTCTTTATACATAAATAAATAAATAATTTTTTTGTTTAAATAAAAAACCTGTAGATATAGACTTTCCTATTTATTATATTATTTTTATTTATTATATGTATGTACGCTTTTTGACTCTAATGCGAATCATCAGCATAAGACCAAAATAGTATAATTGCATAAAAAGTTTTTTTTTCAAGTTATATTATAAATCTTTTATTGTAAAACCTATATAACCTGACTTCAATTGTGCTGATTACAGAGTCTAGAGCTTAGAATTTTGTATACAGTAAAATCTGCAAAATCTGCAGTTCAGCGTATTTTGTTATACGTGAAAAATGCGCTAAAATTGGGTATTTTGAGCACACAAAAATTTATAGAATATGTTTAATTTTTGCTTTCTCACAACTTTCACTTTTTTAATTAATTAGAAAATGTCATCAGTTAGTTCCAGTCATAACCAGAACTCAAATGTCGAATTTAAAGAAATTCCATCAATTAGTTCCACAAATATGATAAAAAATATAAATTCGGCCCTTAGTTCGGTTCCCAAGCCCTGATCGTTTCAAAAAATGTATATGTTCATAACCTGATCGTTTCAAAAAATTTATATGTTCACAATTTTAACACTCCTAATTAATATATTAAATTTCAAGGAAATTTGTTGATTGGTTCTCTTTATATATGGGCAAAAATCTAAAATTGGCCCGCAATTTGATCAATTCTTGACATTATCAAAATAAACTTACATATAAAATTTCACCAAAATCGATTCAGCCGAATTTGAGATACAACACACAGACCGACAGACCGACAGGTTGCTAAAAATAATTTATTTACACTTCCCTACCATGGAGAAGTACGCTCCCACCGAAAACTCGATATGCAAAAATTGTTACTATCACATAACCTACCTATTGTATACACAATACGATCGGTAAAAAAACAATAGGGATTACAGCTACTGTTGAATAAGCTAATTCCGCTTATATAACTTTAAAAGATAAAATTTATTATATAATTTCAATATTTTTATTGAACATATTATTAATTTCTATACATTTAGATTAATATTTAATATTATAAATACTTAAAATGTTCACAAATTACAGTTCCTCAAAAACTTTATATAATGTCAAAAGGGAAATCTGAAAAAAATTTCTTCTTTTTAATTTCATTATTGATTAAAGAAATACATAATTTGATTTTTATGTAACCACTTTGTTATGCAATATAAAACCAATATACAATGTAAGTATATGATAAAATTCTTATTATAAGAATCTTATTCATAAATCCTTAAATAGATATCAGTTTATAATATTTCCCTTTATTACCAGTCCTTTTTTCCACAGTTCTTTTTTTTTTAAACATAATCCCACACATTTTGATTTAAAAAATGAAAATTAACCTTAAAAATTTATATTAACCTATAAAAATCAATCTTGTCATCTTTTTGTTTTATTTTTCATAAAAATGCCTAACGAACTTACAAAACAATAAAAAATATTTCTTTTAGATAAAATACATATGTATGTATGAATGTATAATAAATGTAAAGTAAAATTATTGGTTTGTTGCTTACATAATACTTTTTTCAAATGATTGCAGGAAGGCCGCCCGATTTTATAGCATGTGGTATAACGTTATTAATGACACTTGTTTTAGCTGGTGGTGCTAGTAAATCAGTTATATTTAACAACGCATTAAATGCAATTAATTTGGCAACATGGGTATTTATAATGACAGCTGGTTTATTTTACGTTGATACATCTACATGGACAGAACATGATGGCTTTTTACCATATGGATGGAGTGGGGTAAATGTTAAAAAAAAAGAAATTCTTTTAGTTTTATTATAAAATATTAATTTTAAAACAAATTTTTTGAAGCAAAAAATGTTTTTAGAGAGAAGAGAAATTCTCTTAGAAGAGTTTCATTTTGTGCCATCTATACGAAAACTTCGCCAATAATTTCTGGTAACAACCAAAACTCAAATATTAAATTTCAAGATATTCTATGAATCCCTTCCGTAGATATAGTAGAAAATGTAAAATCGGTCCCTGGTTTGGTTTCCAATCCCTGATCCTTCCTAAAATTTTATAGATTCATTGTTTTAACATCTCCATTTTAAAATTAAATTTCAATGAAATCGGTTATATACGCAAAAATGTATATCTGGGCCGTAGTAAACGCCAAGTTGTTGACACCTGATTTCTTCCAAAAGTTAGCAAGTTTCACGTATGGTTGAATGAACTTTTTATGTATGAAATTTCAAGTAAATCTGTTAAATATTTTCTCCAGAATGATCAAAAATGTAAAACAGGTCCGTTAAAAGGTCCAGTTCCCGATGCCGAATATATCCCAAAAGTTCATCAATCCGTGACTTGACAACTTACATATAAAATTTCATCAAAATGGATTAAGCCGAACTTGAGATACATACGTGCACACGCAAACGCAGACTGACATCTTCCTAAAAATAGTTTATTTACACTTCCCTACTATAGAGAAGTGCGTTCCCATCGAAAACTCGATATGCAAAATTTGTTGCCATCACATCACCTCCCATATTGTATGCAATGCGGTCGGTAAAAAGTTAGTCAAAATTTAATTTTTTTTAAAACAGAAAAATGAATAAACGAATTCCCGAACTGTTTCAGCTCTGCGTATCTTATAGTTATAATAAAGTTTCTGATTATTTAATAATTTTGTCCGGACATCCAAACGTTGATTGGATATCCACCTTTAAAGTTTCACCCTTTCAGCTCTTCACAAATCCATTTTCGAAGGAGTAGTAAAACAGTATTTTTATGGTAAAACGAGTGATTTTTATTTTAATAAATTGGTGCTTTTAAAAACAGCTAGCTATGACTAAATTATTAAAATTATTTCCATTTATACATGAAACTATTTCAAGGATTGCATACATTCGGGGTGAGGCAAACAAAAATTGAGTTAATATAATGCTTGAAGAAATAAAAGAGGCGTTACTATAATGCTTGAGTTCAAGGGTTATTTGCGGGAGTTTAGAAAAATAATTATATTTTTTAATGGCATGGCAAATAATTACATTTTTGAATGTCATTTATAGAAATTTCGAAAAGCTGGCAGTTTCAGTAGCATATATAGTATTCAAATTCTACAAATTTCGAGAAGCGAAAACTCTAGGCGGGCCGAGATGGAAAAAAGCTTTTAACAAAATAAATTGTATATTATTATCTTTCTATTATTTACATCTTTTAGGTAAAATTTCAGACTCCTACAGCCAGCGGTCTGACAAGAAAAACGATATCAAAAATTTGGAAAAAAGCGAGTGCTAGATTACGGTAAATTTTAACGACCATTTTTTTTTAAAAGCTCAATTATGGTACATCGTTATAGAAGAAACCAACCACTACTTTCCTGCATTTGCAAAATTTCAAAAATGGTTATAGTTTATTTCTACAGTTACGACATTTTAGGGTTTTTAAGGGGCCATGCATTTTAGAGGGGAGGAGAAAAGTAAAAATTTTTTTTTAAATTTTCTTTATTCAAGGGTGTAGAAGCTTTGTAAACGGATCCACGGACGGACGGACGAACGGACAGAGTGAAACTAATAAGCATTTTTTTCGAAATCTTTTTGGAAAAGTGCTAAAAATTACCATTTAAATTCTGTTATACCATAGTAAAACCATTTATTTTTCATATGAACCATTTATTTTCCATACTTCTCCCTTCATAGCAAGTCTAGTCAGAAGTTTAATTGGTTCTCATGGGCAAAACTTCATGGAAACTCTAGTGAGGAGTTTCTACCTTAGAAATGGTATTTTCCCATAAAATAAATGCAACTAATGACATTGACAAAGATAAAAATCAATTTGTCTATGTAATTGCAGATATATTTGATATTTTCGATAAAATTACTGTAGGATTTAAGAATTAGGATTTTAGAATTTAGGATTAAGAATTTAGGATTTATTTTGATCTGAATAAAAAAGTATAGTTGAAGAATATAATAAACTTACAAGGTGTGGATTGTGTATAGATTAAATAGATTAAACCTGTAGTGAGTAGCACGTATTTTAATTATATGGTAGAAATACATGTGAATGTGTGACTTACATTCTCAGTTTCATATACTGCATATACTTTTACTTGCGACTTTATCGTTAAAATGATTGATGAACCATTTTACACTCAATTGACTTTTTCATACATTAAAAATTTTTATTACGTCATTCCATCACATCGGATTTATTTTTTTAACTTTGTACTCTTTGCAGTATTTTGCAGATAAATACGCACTCCTCGTAAATTTTTTTATAATATTTTCTTTGATTTTGGTGTACATTCCTACTTATGTACATATGTATGTAGTATGTAATTTCACGAAAGTTGAAAATGCTTTTTTGCTAGTAAAATTTTTACATTTTTCAGGTCATCAACATAATTAAATTTTTTTGGTTTTTTTTTTTTTGGTTTTCTTTCAATATTTTCTTAGTTCTTAGTAAAACTATTTATATTACTTGAGAGTTGCCATTGAAATTTATGAAAATCTGAGATATCCAATCACTAGTATAATTCTGTACTTTTCCTATAATTCTATCTTTCTGCCTCTTTTTTTCCTTGAAAAAGTTAATGTAATTTCATCAACTTTATAGTGTAAAAGTTGTAAAATACATATGTATATGTGCATATTTATGAAATATGTAGGCTATGTATACATACATATTCCTATGTATTTTGAAATATTTTTTAAGAATGAGCTAAAAGGACATCAATCTTTTACACAAACAATTATACATTACAAAAAAATTAATTCAGCTAATATTTTAGACCCGATGAAACAATAAATTAGACTATAGATAACTTAAAACTAAATTAATTGCATATATAAATTATTATAAACAGATCTTTGTACTTAAGTGATCGCAATGACCAGTCAGGTTGTCCAACAGTTGTCATATAAAACACAAAACTCGATTGCAAAATCTGTTATAATTCTAATTGAAGTTTTGCTTCTTACCACAGAAGTAATATCGGTAAATAACTTTTATTTTTATACGCAGGACAATATTTTCTGTAATGATTGTTACTGTTATTCTTCGCAACTTATGAAATCTTTTAGATAATGTCAATTTCAATCTTAAATAATTTCGAGTATTTACATATAATACAGGCGCATGCATGTATGTACCTACACTAATACAAAGATACCCTTTCTCTATGAGATTTTTTTGCAAATACTCAAATTTTTACAAAAATATCTATTTGGGTCAGCTCATTCAAATTAAATGAAAATTTCTGATAAAAAAGTAATTAATAATATAAACAGACCAATTCTACATCATTAGAATTTTCAGTTACTCTTTATCAAATAAGTTGTATAGTTTTATAATTTCATCGCAATTCCATCATTATTTTACATCAATTTTCTAGATGCATCGTAAGTTTACATAAAGATTTTTCCATATAACGTACATGTTAAATGAAAAAGAACTCCGTACTTATGTACGAGTATAATAGATTTTTAGAATATCAAACATAGCTTGATTTGAAACAAACATAAATTTTACTACCAAACCGAATTTTCCTACAAGTCTCTTGTCTATATAGAAAAAATAAACTGTTTATTCTAAGTAGAACCGTTGCAGCTAAAAGATTTTTGTTTTTTATTTTATAGAGTTTAAAGCTGCATATTAAGCTTTCAGATACAGTTCAAAGCCGAAATCATACTTTTTTTAAAATATGAAATTTAAGTTGTTACCCTCAAGGTAGAATACAAACAATAACAATTAAGTGTTAAATGATTGAAATTTTATTTTTAAATTTTATTTAAAAAATAATTGTAAAATCAATCCTCTAAACTCATACAATTATTTCATACAATTAAATAAATTGAGAATTATGAATTAAACAAATCAAAAAGAATTTTTGTAAATAATTTTGATATCGACATTACTTTCAACTTTAATTTTTTCAAAATTCCAACAATGACCGGAAGTCATAATGTTGCAAAGAAAAATATAAGATATGAGCCTATTTAGATGCATACATATGTATAAAATCCTAACATAAAAAAAATCTTTCTTTAATGGATATGTAAATTTGCTTTAGGGTGATATTCAACATTGATTTCTTTAATTTCTAACCTACGTATTTCAATATTCAAATCTCTTTTGAAACGCCCTCATTTATTATGAAACGTAATTCATTCTTCTGCATATAGAAATGAACGAACAAAAACATGCATATAGTGTTTTTGATTCTAGAATTAAAAATGTCTAACATATTTTTTCAAAATGTCTGAATTAAATTCTTTTTTTTTGTCATATATTTAAATGCTTGGTTATATTATAGAATGGAATATTACATATTTGTTAATCCTTAAAGGAAACTTGAAAATATTTTTTTCCTTTTTTTCACAATTTTGTATAATATTAAGATTTTTATACCCGTACGAACGTATGTTCGAAGGGTATACTAAATTTGCCTTACCGTTTGTAACGATAAGAAATAACGGTGTTAGATATAGACTCAAGTGTATGTTTTTGATCAGCGTCGAATTCTGAGTTGATTTAGGTATGTATGTCCGTCCGTCCGTCCCAGCGGTAACTCAAAAACTAATTAAGCTAAGCTCACCAAATTTTCACAAATGATTTATTATAGTAAGTGCCAGAACCCTATTTAAATTGGACATGATCGTGGTACTGGTTCGGGTAGCTGCCATACAACTTCAAAATTTATTTGGTTATATCTCACAAAATATAAAAGCTTTGCTTTTGAAATTTAACACAAGTGAATATATTACTAGGGCCGATGTGCTTGATAAAAGTCGTTGAAATTGCTTGGCTCCTTCTGGTACCTGTCATACAACTTCAAAAGTTATTTGGCTATATCTCAGAAACTATAAAAGCTATGGTATTGAAATTTCACACAAGCGAATATAATATTAGGGCCGATGTGTTTGATAAAATTTGTTAAAATTTCTTGGCTCTTTCTGGTAGCTGCCATACAACTTACAAAACACACAGTATTTTGAAAAACACATAGCACTGAAATTTTGCATAAATTAATATGGTAATACGGCAACTTAAAGTCATAGTCTGTCCCATAGTCAGTTATGGCTCTCTTTTTTCAGCTATGGCTCTCAAGGTCAACTCTTTTTTTTTTCTCGTTTTTCTTTATTTTCGTAAAATCAAAATTAAAATCGTTTATTCTTACAATTGCTCTTTTAATTTTACAATTTTAGTTTTCGAATAAATTTTTAATTATTTAAAATATTTTTTTTTTCTATTAGGTTTTCACTGGGGCAGCAACATGTTTTTATGCCTTCATTGGTTTTGATATAATAGCAACAACTGGAGAAGAAGCGCATAGCCCACAAAAAAGTATACCAAAAGCAATTGTTGGATCACTTATTATAGTTTTAATTGCATATGTCTCAAGCAGTTTCATTCTAACCCTAATTGGTGAGTAAAATATTTAACATTATGCCGAATATGCCTATCAGATGAAGAAGTTCACAGAGTAAAAATCATTTCCAAAGTAGTATTAAAATCACAAGATACAAATCATAAAGCAAAATTACAAAATTTTTTTTCCTAAAAGTCTCTTTATGTCAAACAGTTTTGTTTGTGACTAATGAAGTTTTTAATGTTATATAGAAAAAATAAAATGTAGATACAAAGTAGAACCTTGCCGTTCAAAATTTTTTTAAATTTTTCTGCTGACTTGTTCTTTGCGTTACTTTATCCATTTGTTCTGTAAATGTATGAAGAAATTTTCATTGGCGAAGATTAAGCGCTTATTGTTCAAGTCAATGATTCAGCGCTGAAAAAATGACAGATAAGTTTGTGCTGAAGATTTTCAATATGAAGGAAAATGAAAAATTTCAGATTTTTAAGTTTTCAAATGTAAAATAATACAATATGTTTAAAGAAAAAACGGATATATTGCATTAAAAATTAAATTCAAATTGTGTTTTTTTTTCGATTTTGACAAAATCGTAAAACTTTTATTAGATGATTTCAAAGACCCTTTATATAAATTGAATTTTTTTTTTAAGAAAATAACTTTAATGTGTATTAAACTTTTTTTAAAGACAAGCAAAAATAAAAAAAAAATCCGACATTGTCAGCACATAACCGACCGCAATGTGTATTGTCTAGTTAAGTCAAAGTATTACAGAAGTTAATAAAAATCACCTTTTAAACACTTCTTTCCAATTTTTAGGGCGTTAACATACCTAGAAAAATGTATATTTCGCTCTTAATAGAGTTTCGTCTTGTGCAATCCGAACTTGCCAGTTAGTTTCAGTAACAATCACTGCTTAGATATTAAATTTTAAGAAATTCCATTGATGCGTTCCGTAGATTTAAATGTAAGTTCTGCCCGCAGTTTTGTGTTTAAGCCCGATCATTCCAAAATATTTATAAGTTCATTGTTTTAACATTCCAAATTTAAGTATTAAATTTTAAAGGAATTGATGATTTCTCTTAATATCGGCAAAAATATAAAAATGGACCCCAAAAAAATCCAGATCCCGTGGTCTGACATATGCCAAAAGTTGATCATTTCGTGAAATACCGCTCCGCACAGACCGACAGACAGACGGACAGACAGACCAACAGACTGACATCTCTCTAAAAATGATTTATTTGCGATTCCCTACAATGGAAAGATGGGTTTCTACAGAAAACTCGACATCGCAATGCAGTCGGTAAAACGTTTGGTGACTCCACTTTATAAATGCATTTAAAAAAACAATTAAAATTGAATTAATCCGACAATTTCTGTTATACAAACAAGTCGAATTGTACTGATTTACTTAATTATTTTCCAACCTAAATGACAACATACGATGTATATACACTTTTGACATAATATTAAACTGATATGTATATAATCAAATGACAGTTATCGAAATACGCAAGGGAGTGTAAGTCCAACTTTTAACATTTAAAAAAAGACAAGCGTACAAAAATTTTTTGTTTTTGTTATTTTGGAAATTGTCATTATGTAGATTGGAGATTTTCTCTTCGGTTCTGTCGCAGTAAAATATTGTTAATACAGCCACTAAATTAAGGTTGATGAATTCACTCTTTTTAACTCAATTTTTCTAGTGCGATGTTGTAGTATGACTGCTTGTGAATAAAGGAGTTTTCAATGTCTGCACTATATAGATTTGCCACAAACAGAAGAAAATTTGATACAATTTCTGACAAAAAGGCTTTTCTTCTTGATGGTAGTTTTGACAACTTTTTGAATTTTCGCTTCATTAAATTCTTCAATAACATCATTAATGTCGGTTGAGAAAAAGGAGGCCAGATTATGAATTATTTTTAAAATATGAATCTTTTTTACTGGTAAGGGGTTTAGATGATAGCTGCCACAACCGCCCCATAACATGCAGTACAAAAAATGATTCTAAAACCGTTACTAAACATTATAAGTTAATTATATGTAGATTATGTCTGGTTTTTACTATAATTGTATATTTATAACTCCTGGTTAAATAAATAGCCCGTGCTTTTAGAGGATTAATTTTAATTTTTCACCTGTGATAATATGTGGTTATAATGTCAAATATGGTTATAACGTCAATGGAAACGGATTTTTTAAGTGATTCTAGGAAATTTTCAAACGAAACCAAAGTAGCTTTAGCATTAAGCGAAATTCTAGCAACATCTTTCCTATGTTTCAGACAATTTTTTTATTATTTTCATCATTTTATAAACATTAAGAATATTGTATTTTCTTTTAAAATTAAGTTGTTCCTTAGGACAAATATTTTATTAGTCAAAAAATTCCATAATTTACATTTAAAAGCTTTTTTCGAAAACCTTACACATAGCCCAGTAAGCTTTTCGGTCTATATGTTTCAGTTAGATTTATTCCTCGTAGGTTTGGCAATAGGAACAACAGTTGCGATTTTTCATTGATTTTGATATTAACTGATTTTTAAGCATGCATTTACAATTTTCTAGTATGACATTTTTGATTTCCTGCGCTGAAATAAAATCGAAATTAATATCTATACTTCCATTAATGCTCCCATTATTAATACCATCGGTTGAATTGTCTACCATGACCATAGTTGTTGAATCAACAATATCCTGTTTATTCAATATCTGAGTTTTTCACAGTTATCGTTCATCCTCACAAGGATTATTGATAAAAAGAAGAAAATAAACTAAAAGAATAAAATCGTTATTCACGTAAAAATTTTTCTTTTTTTGCTTTTTATTTTGAGGGATTTGATCTTAAATATTAAATTTTTCTTTTGTTTTCTTTGCAAAACCACATTAAAGAAATTCGTTTTATTTTCTTTTTTCTCGTTTTTTTTTAAATATTGTTAAAGTTTTCGAATAAGGTCTGTTGCGTTGTTTGGTTCTTCATTTAAAACAGTCGCTGTAAAAGTTTTTCTTTTGAAATAGTTTCTTTCCCTTTATTTTTATACACATAGTACGATATAAGTTTATCCAAAGTTGCCAAGTTTATTGATAGTTAATAATTATTATTCAAAACTCGTAAATTAATCATTTAGGACGTGATACGATTCTTTAATCGATTATTTTTTTTTAAAACGAGAAAAAAAATAGAGTTGACCTTGTCAACTCTGTGATACCCGTACGAATTTGTTATCCTATGTGCAAATAAAGATGCCATAACTGACCATGGGAGAGACCATGACTTTAAGTTGCCGTATTACCATATTAATTTATGCAAAATTTCAGTACTGTGTGTTTTTCAAAATACTGTGTGTGCCAAACTACTATTTAAGTTGTATGGCAGCTACCAGAAAGAGCTAAGAAATTTTAACAAATTTTATCAAACACATTGGCCCTACTAATATATTCGTTTGTAGGAAATTTCAATACCACACCTTTTATAGTTTCTGAGATGTAGCCAAATAAATTTTGAAGTTGTATGGCAGGTACCAGAAGGAGCCAAGCAATTTTAATGACTTTTATCAAGCACATTGGCCCTACTAGTATATTCGTTTGTGTGAAATTTCAATACCATAGCTTATATAGTTTCTGAGATGTAGCCAAATAACTTTTGAAGTTGTATGGCAGGTACCAGAAGGAGCCAAGTAATTTCAACAACTTTTATCATACACATTGGCCCTACTAATATATTCATTTGTGTGAAATTTCAATACCATAACTTTTATAGTTTCTGAGATATAGCCAAATAAATTTTGAAGTTGTATGGCAGCTACCCGAACCGGTACCCCGATCATGTCCAATTTAAATAGGGTTCTGGCACTTACTACAATAAATAATTTGTGAAAATTTGGTGAACTTAGCTCAATTAGTTTTTGAGTTATTGTTGGGACGGACGGACGGACGGACAGACGGACGGACGGACGGACGGACGGACGGACAGACAAAGCTAAATCAACTCAGAATTTGACGCTGATCAAAAACATACACTTGAGTCTATGTCTAAGACCGTTATTTCTTAGCGTTACAAACGGTAAGGCAAATTTAGTATACCCTTCGAACATACGTTCGTACGAGTATAAAAAGGTATAACGATATTAGGTGAAATTTCTCGACTTTGTGTTTTGTTGCGGTAATTATGTAGTACTCGGCTTTTGGCTTTTGTAGGAAAAAATTTTATTTTTTCAAATAATTTTTTGCAGAGCGAATTTTTTAAATAATTTTAAAGTGAATTTCAAAATTAAATGTCAAAGTGATTTGGTCATATCAAATTTTCCTGTACACTGGTAATTTGGGGATCTTAATTTTAATTTTTTATTAATTTTGAATATGTTTTAATATTTTATATAAAAGTATTAAATCATTTAGTTGTTCGCGAAATTATCAGACACCTTCAAAGCTTATGATATTTCATACAATGTACAGATTCATGGTATAAAAACAGCTTTACTAGATTACTAAAGTAATTTTTATACCATGATACAGACTCTTAGAGATTTTGGGCTGGCTTAAAAATCTCAATACATATTTTCGAAATCTTTCGGTCGCCTCATTCAAATTTGCAGTGCTTTTATTCAATATTTCTCAACTCGAAATTCAATAAACACCCCAAAATTTAAAAAGAAATATTAGAGATAGGTTTTGTGTATATATTTTTGTTTTACAATCGGGAAAAAATTTCATTCTTCTTTCTTTTGCTAAAATTTTAAGTTTTAATTTGCTGGGTATTTTCTTAAAACAATCTATTAAAACCATAACCAAAGGAGTGTGAAAACATGGAAATTTTCAGAAATTAAATTACTTTGTTTAAGAATTTTCGTAAAAGTATTATATGAAGCAGACGAAATACTTGTAGTAGAATTAAGTTATTATATAATTCAAGATATATATGGCACTTAAAACATTATGTACAGAACACTTGGAAAGAGCTTTTTAAACCTTATGAAAATCAAAAATGTACAGTGGCTATAGTTAGGCTGGATTCTAAATTTTAATATACTATATCAGAATTATTTTTATTGCAATTTTATTAAAAATCTTACTAAAGTTCAAAGATTTCAAACTATTTTTATTTTTTTAAGTTCCTTATGATCATATTGACACGGGCTCAGCTTTACTTTCAATGTGGTCATATGTTGGTGCATCAAAATGTAGAGCCGTTGTTGCAATAGGTGCAACAGCAGGTTTAAGTGTAGCAATGTTTGGATCAATGTTTCCGATGCCAAGAGTTATCTATGCAATGGCGCAAGATGGTTTGATATTCAAGTAAGTTTGTAATAATATTTTCGTCACAAAAACTATTTAATAGAGTTGCGAAAGCTAAACAAAAAAAATTTCATATTATTATTTTTTTATTAGACAATTAGCTCAGTTATGGGAACGCACTAAAGTTCCAGGTATTGCAACAATCGGCAGCGGTATAGCAGCAGCATTAGTTGCATTAACTGTGAAACTAGAAATTTTAGTAGAAATGATGTCAATTGGTACACTATTGGCATATACATTAGTATCTACATGTGTTCTCATATTACGATATCAGCCTCACAGTACATCTTTAGTAGATTTATTACCAGCTCAATTAAGAACACCAATACCACCAAGTACACCAGAACCAGCAAACGTTACATCAGAAGTTGCCGCAAAGAAAAATTTTACACATAAACGAGTTAATACACGTGGTTCCCCGGATTCGGATGATTCATTTATTGATGATAGTCCGGAGGGTTATTTGGGTAGAGATGATCAATTTTTAGTTTCTGATCGTTCAGAAAATAAATTTTACGGTAGCGTACATGGTGCACCAACTGGACCAACGGGTAATGCAACAGCTTTCGATACTATCGGTGTGAGTTTAATTGGTCGTAAACTACAAGAATTTGCCTATTTATGTCCTGGTCTATTTCCATGGGTTAATCCTGGTCCGGCAACTAATGAAAGTGGTAAATTTAAAAACTGCTATAAATATAGTTATATAAATTTCAATACACTCTTTTGTAATGTTAATAGGGATGTACGTTACTAAGTTAGTTGGCTGTATGTATGTGTTAGTGTTTTCATTGGATTTATTTGCGGCAATCGGATGGACGGGTAAGCTTGCTGGACTAATATTTACAATTTTAGTGATAGGAATTATTGTGATACTACTGATAATATCTCGTCAACCACAAAATAGGTACATTAATAATATTTGTTAGCATTTAATTACTTATGGAACATTTGAATTAAATTTAATAGATATGCCCTGGCATTTTTAACACCAGGACTTCCATTTATACCAGCTATAGCTATAACAGTCAATATTTATCTAATATTCAAGTTAAGTATTTTAACATTAGTACGTTTTACAATATGGATGACATTAGGATTGATAATGTACTTTTATTATGGTATAACACATAGTTTGTTAGAAAATCCAAGCGAAGAAATTGAATTAACTGTTGATCAAAGTTATGTAACAGAACCGGTAAATGTCAATTGATTTTTTTTTACAATCTTGTAATAATTAATTTTGCGTATTTTACATAAATATTCTTTTATTAATATTTTAGGTAAGTAACCATGAACCAAAAGCTGTATGGGATCAACATCATGGTTATGAAAATCAAATGGCGGAAGATAGTTGGTCAACATCAAACCACTATAATACGTGGGATACCATCGATATTAATCGAAGTTGGAATGATACAAATATGACAAATACAACAGGGATAAACACGACAAATAATAAATCATTAACAAAAACTAGTCATAATAATTCATCAATTGACAAATCGCAGCAACCACCACCGAAACCGCCACCACCACGCCGTCAACCATCACAACCGCAAGCTGTACCTACAAAGCCACAAATATCAAATAATATTAAAAAATCCCCTAAAAGAAATGCAACAAATCCATTTAATACATCTTCATCATCTTCAGTAGGTACGCCAGTTGTAAATAAAAGTAGTCGTAAACAATCGGGATCAGTGAGTACAACGACTGGTAGTAATGATGGTGATACTAAAACCAAAGATGGATTTAGTATGTTCATCGATGAATCACAATTTCCAAAATGGGAAGATTAAATAATATTTAACTACATAATATATTAATCATACATAATATAATATATACATATAATAATATTTAAATCTAAGTATACATATGAAGCATAATACATATTATTACATATATTATTAAAAAAATTAAACAAGTTGAATAGTTTTACATAAAAAAATCCTTTAGAAATGCAAGAACAAAATCGTACATTATATAAAATTAAAATTAATTTTGATTCTTTTTTGTTTTGTAATTGTTAACAAAAATATTAGTATATACATTCCTACTTATAACTACACATAAGTATGTAATTTTTATTTTCTAAAAACCGATATTTAAATTTTTATTCTGAATAATTGATAGTTTATTAATAATAAAAGATTATTGTAAAAATTTTTAAAATTTATTACCTTAAAACTGTTATGCATTGCATTATATTCATTATAGTATAATAATATTAAATTAAATAGAATTACTAAGTAAAAATTGTGGCGAAAAGTAAAGTCATTTTCATAAAATTATAATTTTTTAAAATAAAAAACGGTTAAAAAGTAAAAGTAAATTTTAAACAAAGTTATATCGTATTTTGAAAATAATCGTAACGGTTGAAAAAAACTATTTAAATAAAAGAAAAAAATTAAGTTTACCAAAATGAATACATACATACTTACATAGAAATACAAGAATTCGTATTATAGAAAATGAAAAACAAAATAATCCCGCTACATAAAAATTTGAAGATTCCACTAAAATATTATAATTCGGAAATGCGTTAATATCGCCATCCATCACATTATAAAATATTCCAAACAGCAAAATTTGTATTAACACTTTTCAAAGCACATAAGAATGTTTAAAGGTTTTGTTTTGAATTGTTGGGGGAGTATCTAAATGCAGATCTACCACCACTGTAATGCAATGTTGATTGATTTCTTTATTTCTAGGGTTTTCTGTTAGAATAGAATAAAACACAATTGAAATTTTTTTTCTGTTATATTTGTTTTATTAAAAGATTAACTAGTGAAAGTTTACTGAAGATGGCTTAAAAAGTTAGCCTTTTAAAATGTTCCTGCTAAATGTAACATAGTATTAAAATTTTAACATATTTTGCTATCTTAAATAAGATAATATAACTTTTTCCAATTGCAATTAGTATCAATCAGAACTTAATAAGTTCTACTATCTAGTTTTCAATGTTTTTAAATGTGTGTTTACTTATACGAAAATAACCAACATGAAAATTTAAATATGAGATGTAAAAATGAATGTGTGATGAAGCTCAATTTCATTTTCAACTTGAGACGAAACCGTAAAAAACTAGAATATATTTTCATTTCGAAAGTGTATAACATTAGATATGTACATATGTCAATAATACCTTATTAGAAAATTTTAAGATCTCGAGAAGTGAAAAACGGTTGATATCTAATTTTGTTAGAAAAATTTTTGAAACAATTCGTTAGTTATAATGTTCTGCAAGGAAATTTCTTAAAACTGCTAAATAAATTAACTTTTTTTTTCTTGCGTTAGAAAGCGCTTAAAATTTTAAGTAATACTGCATTCATAATTTTTTTTTATCAAAAATCTAGATATAATGTTCTGATAGAAAACCCAAGATTTTTTCTATATACCGCGACGCATGCAATAACACCACAATAGTTTTTTCTATTTGTAATTAATATAAAATACTTACCGATAGAAACGGTTTCCATATCTACTTCTTTATTTTGTAGAACATTATGCACCGAAATTTTGTAAAGGTATTCTGCAAGAATTTATTGTTATACATGTGCATAGCGCATTTATTAAATATTATACATTTAGTTATTGTGATTTTTTTTAAATATTTTTACCATCACTTAAAATATTAAAATTTGTTATAAAAATTTTAAGCTCGATAAATAAAATACATACTTAATTTATAGAATTTAAACCTGGAGGCTAGTTTTACAAAAAACTTATCTATTTTTATTAAGGTCAACATTATGCTGTTTTAACATTAACATAACTTACAAAAAAAATGAATAATAATTTTTAGTGACACTTTCAAGAGATAAAGGTTATTCATTTTTAATAATTTAGATAAGTAATTTAAAATTTATTTGTTTTTCGTGAAGGAACCTATTGAAAATTTTTCTAAGTATTATAATATGTGGAGGGTACTGGGTGCACCAGGTAAATAAAGTTAATAAGACTTCGCTTATTAAATTTAGATCGTTTTGATTTCAGATTCAAAAACATTAATTTTAATTAAGAATATGTTTTGATTATAAAGATTTGGTAAAGAAAATTTTTTTTTATTAATTTAAATTATTTTAAATGCGGAAAATAAATATAATATATTATTTCATTATAACAGGGTAAATTTAATATAAAAAGATACTGTTCTTTATGTTAGCAATGAAAATTTGTAAAATTAATACTAAGTAATATGAAGATTAACGTGAAGATATGTACGTACAATATACCACTACTATGTACGTACATACTTACGAGTATTATCATAATCATACGACTGAAGCACAACTTTTATATAACAAATTTTAATGATAACGGTTTATGTTTAAAATGTGATGGCTTGTGATCATCCAGTACTGCACTATTTCGCATTTTGAATTTTTTGAGGATTAAAAGCAATATTAAGAAATTTTTTAATTTTTATATACTTACATAATGTAAATGTTGCAAATGGATCTTTTTTTGCTAATGTTAAATTTGTTATAAACTAACTGTCTAAAATATCTTCATATTTTATATAGTGGTAGATTTTTTTATGTAGCTACATAATCACTTTTTTCCTCTTTTTGTATATACATATGCATATAACATAATCACATACTCATAATAGTTAAATTATTTAAATTAAATAAAATATTTAACATTCCTATATATAATTAACAAATATATAATACATTATCACAATACAGAATAAAATATAAAAACAGTTAATGAAAATCCTTTCAAGAACAGAAACTAAGTTATTATTTTGTTATTGCACATATATTCTTTAAATATGTTAAATAGTACTTAGAGTTACATTGATCTTTATTTAAAATTAAAGTAAAATTTTCAGCACAGTTAATAAAATAAGTTTTAAAAAAATTTTGTTATTTTTCTATATTTGTAGAATTCAAACATTTTCTTGAAATATTTTGTTATTATTATACGAGAAAAAATAACTTATGCATTTAAGTTACAAAATATTTTAACTATATTTACACAATATAATTAACTATAGATACAATATTTTATCAAAAATGGAATTGTACAAAAGAGCCATATCAATTAAGTATAAGACAATGTTTCAATAGTCAGCCATTTTATTATTTAGAGATATATTCAATATTTTTATACAACTTTGTTTATTTTTTGCTAATAATTCATGACATTATTATAATGAAATATACACAACATCATATAATGAAGGTTTAATAATTCCTATTTAACAAAATAATTTTTTTAATTATTTTCGATATGTCCAATTTTTATTGAAAAAGTCTTATATAATTATATCAATTTGTATAAACAATTTATTACAATTTATATCTTATATTAACTTTAAAAAAAAAAATAGTTTTTATATTATAAGAAAAAAATAATGTTTCGAAATAAAAATCAAATTTTTAAGGGGAATAAATTCATATATATATACGTACATCGCTATTATTTTCGCTATCAATTTTTTGTAGGTCATTTTTAGTATCAGCAAAAATTGACAGGTTTTACGGTCGGCAGTAATGCTTGAAAATATTAAAAATAAATTGCTTTTTACTTCACTCATGTACTAACAAAAAATAGCGATATTTCACATTATGGGTTGATCTAATATGAAAGACAACTAGCTATGAGTTTTTCTTTTCACACCAATAAAAAAAAAAAAAAAAAAAATAGCTATGAGTATTTTCACTCAACAACCGGAATAAGCTCTTTCAACACATCGTAAAATTATTTTATTTTTTTTTTTTATAAAATCTGATACCATCAAAGTATAGTGAACATTTAAAAATATTTTCATTCCCATATCCTTTAAAAATTTCAAAATCTTAAAAACTTCGATGACACAAAAAAAACTTTCATTGAAATTTTTGAATATTTTTGTAATACAATTAAGTATTAAGTATAAATAAGTTTACATCAGCAATTAATATTAATTAATCCGAGGTTTTTTTTATATATTTGTACTTTTACCAGAACATAGCTGTTGAGCTTTCCCAAAAATATAATTTATTATTTTTCCAAATTTTCATAATTTTCAGAAATATCTATAATCAAACAATGAAAGGAAATTTACTTAGCATGTTTAACTTATTCAATTTTAAATTACATATTTGTAATGTATGTATATATACATATATATATATATATATAAGAAAAAAAACAATAAAACTCTGTAAATTTCTACATAGTATTTAGATAGATATTTATAAACTTATTCATTTAATTTTTTTTTCATTTATATATTATATAATTATACATGAAAAATTAATTGAATCAGTATATTAGTTATACATAAAATATGTATATATATGTATATATAATTATATAATCTGTTAATGTAAATTTAAAAAATTTTAATATACCATCACGTATTTCTCTTAAATTAATTAGAAAATTAAAAAAGAAATAAATAAAATGTATTACTTTAACTGTATTTTACAATAAAACTATTTTAAATTAAACACAAAAAACAAAATTTATTATACATACATAAATACATACATACATAAATACGTTTATATACATGTAGAAATAAAAATTATATTATTTGTAATTTAAATTCTACTATACCCTAAATGTAAAATTAAATTTAGTAACTAAAATGATATTGATGAAAAATATATATTAAAAAAAAAAAAACAATGTCAAATAACAATCTATGTCTATAATGTCCATTTTTGTCTGTATTTAACAAAATAAATTTTATTAAAAAAAAAACTAAAAAACAATATCAACTTTGAACAAAAAAAATGAAACACTATAACTTTTTTCTATTGAATAAATTTGTATTTTATTATAAAAATATCGTTATTAATTATGATATTTTTTAAGATAGTTAATTATAAATCATTTTGACTGTATACTTATATTGGATCTATCAATTTCTTTATATCATTTTTATTAATCGTAAAATAAACATACTTGTATCTGCCGAAATTCTATTTCTAAAATAAGATTATAATTAGC